GGGTACATTGGGAGTGAATGGGAAGGGGTTTGGGTCCATTGGGATTGGGGACAGTGCGAGTGAACGGGAAGGTGTTTGGGTGCATTGGGATTGGGGACAGTGGGAGTGAATGGGAAGGGGTTTGGGTCCATTGGGACTGGGGACAGTGGGAGTGAATGGGAAGGGGTTTTGTGTCCATTGGGATTGGGGACAGTGGGAGTGAATGGGAAGGGGTTTGGGTCCATTGGGATTGGGAACAGTGGGAGTGAATGGGGAACCATTATCTTGGATAGGCAGCTGAGAATTTGTGTGCAATTATCAGATTGTTTGCTGACTTCGTGAAGTGGAACAGTTTTGGACGAAACACCCAGTTCACTTGCACAAAGGAATGTAACATTGTAGCTGTGACAGATGGGAATAGAAACCCTGATCCCAAACCATTAGGGTCACCCAGGTCTCATGAGGGAATTAAAATAAAGTGGAGCCTAAATTGCAACATGTGGTTGGGCTGGGAATCTCACTGATTTGCTGGGATGTGGGATGTAACCGATGAATTCTCTGACTCCCAGATCCGAACAGCATTAGAACAGCGAATGCAACTTGACCTGAAGGAGTATAAAGGGTTTATCGAGAATGAGATATTGCTGGTACTCGCACAGATGGATAAACCGAGTAAAATCTTCGATTATCTTTACTTGGTGAGTGTCTTTCTCCGTGTCCCCCTTCTCTCTCTCTCCGTCTCCCCTTACTCTCTCTCTCCGTCTCCCCCTTCTCTCTCTCTCCGTCTCCCCTTTCTCTCTCTCTCCTTCTCCCCCTTCTCTCTCTCTCTTTGTCATATTCTGCCTGTCTCTCTCACTCTCTGTGTATCTCTCGTTCTCTCTGTCTCACACACACACTCTCTCTCTCTCCCACTCGTGCTCTCCCCTGTTTTAACTCACTCTTCCATTTCTCGATATCTCCTTGTTTAAACAGATATGAAACTGCCTTGTTTGATATTCCCAGGGTTCAGAATGGAATGCCTCCAACTTTGAAGAATTGGAACAGAACAGGTAAATGATTATTTCGATATCTCTTTCTGCCTGTCTCCCCCACTCCCTCTCTCTCCCCCATCTTACCTCTTGTACACTCTCACTATCATCCACACTGTTTCTCTCACTCACTCCCCACTCTCCAATATGTGCCGTCTATATCGTACTCTCTCTCTGTGTGTCTCTCTCTCTCCATCACTTCTCTCTCCCTCTCAGCCTATATCTTCCTCCTACACAGTACTTCTCTCTCTAACCTCCCTCTCCCCCACCTCCCTCTCTCCTTCTTCCTGTACACCCCCTCTCCCTCTCTCTATCCCCTCTCTGTCCCTCACCATTCCCTTCCCGTCTCTCAATGTCTGTCTCCCTCTCGCTGTCTCTTCCTCTGTCCTTCTCCCTCCCTCTCCCTGGCACACTGTCTCTCTCTCCTCTCCACCCCCCACTCCCACCCCCTCATCCCCCCACTTTATCTCTCTCTAACTCAATTTCCCTCTCACTCCTCACTCTCCCTCTCTCCCTTCTGTCTCCATTAACCTTTCCCCTCCTTCTGTCCCTGTCCCCTGCAGTCCCTCATTCCCTATCTCTCCCTATCTCTCTCTCTCCCTCCCTCTCTCCCTATCTCTCTCCCTCTCTCCCTCTCTCTCTCTAAGAGACTCTAGAAGTAACTGTATTAAGTATGAGTTGTACAGGTTATCATCTGCCTTCTCTCTCTCTCCCTCCCCCTCCCCCTCTCACCCCCCCCCTCCCCCCCACTCTCCCCCCCCCCCTCCGCCCCCCTCTCTCCCACACCCCTCCCCCACCTCTCCGCC